ATCAAAATCAAACATCTAATTATTTATCAATTATATAAACATTACATCATTAATTATTTAATTAACCAAAAAAATTACATCTTTATTAATAACAAATTAATTCTTAAACAAAACTATTAAATATAAACTACGCAAACGTGCAATGCACATTACTTGCACCTAGTGTGTGTATATATATATACACATATATACACACGTAGAAATGACGTTTGAACGTTGAAGAATCAAACTTTGTTATATCTATTGGGGGCGGAAACACTAATGAAATTGTATGCTAGTCAATTATTATAATAATAGAAGTTAACGTGTCTAAGTTGTTTGGTAGAAATTTATCTTTATAATTACAATATTATTTTTACTATTTTAATTTAATGTCCAAATTAAATACAAATGTTAATATATGGAAAAAAAATATTTACCGTACATCAGGGGCGGACGCAGACATTTTAGGTTAGGGGGGCACAATCAAACCCTGTACAAATCGACTACTTCGTTCTTGATTTTTAAATGATTCATACTTGATTTGAAACAATGCAAATTTACATTTATAAAAAAAATTATTCACTAATATTTTGTTAATCATTTTTATCCATTTGATTTCGAATAATCATTTTATTAATATTTTATTCATCGCAAGAAAATGCATTTTTATATTTAAAAGTCTTATAATGTATTTGATGTAAACAATCAATTCAAGTAATCAAAAGGAAAAACATATAAATAAAAAAAAAAAATTCTCGAAAGTTGGAGGGTCATGTAACCCGCTATGACTCCCCTGGGTCCGCCCCCTCTCGTGCATTAATCTTTAACATGCAAAATCATACTCTCGACTCTACCCAATCAATTATATGTCGATTTAAAATTTGTTAAATTATATTTTAGAAATTACTACGATAGATTTTGTAGGATATATATATTGTTATTTAATTTCCCAAATTTGATCCAGTTCGCAGATCCCTCTTCTACTGGTTTTCAATTCATGTTCTGGTAATTTGCCTTCGAACAAATTTTTTAAAAAAAAATCCCTATTCTAATGATTAATATATAAGTTTCAAATTCGAATTAAAGGTATCCGCAAGTCTTTTAACTAAAAAATTTGAAAGACTCAACTGCTAAAACACAACGAAGAAAATCATCAGTTACACTGGATTAAGACACCATCCAGTCTCTTATAATATATACAACTACTTTAATAGAGTATGCTGATAGAATTTTTTTTTTTTTTTTTCCCGGGACATAATTATGAAAATTGTTGCCTTTTTGAGAGTTTTTTTTTTTTTTGTTCAGTCATGCTACATATACATCATTTTTAAAATTTTCTTTTACACTTTGTCACGTAATAACACATCATTAGACATTTCAAATTTTACACAATATTGTCACTAAATCAGCACTTGCTAAGACCGACAATGCCAACAATTATGTCAAGAAAAAGTATACAAGTGACATTTTTCTTTTCAATCATGCTACATGGACATAATCATTTACACAATATTTTACACCCCTCACATGGAGGGAAGTCCCACACATAATAAATATTCGCACTCACTATTCATGTGAGACAGTATACGTACACCTGGTGTACAAACAACTTTATCCTTTTCATTTTCTTGGTCTTGTTGGTGGCGAATAAGCGTGGGAATATGAACCAGTTGTCAGATCCATGATTAGCCCTTTATTTGCTTGTTTATAGATAATTATAAGTAATTAATAAATGAAGTGTCATTAGAGATATGATTTTTTATTTTTTTGCTATCTTTGTTGTTATATTATAATTAGAACTATAATCTAAGTGGGCAAGCACACGTGACGTGACAGCCAATAACACGTGATTACCAACAATCTCTAATCTTTGCAATTTTTTATTTACCATGGAAGTTTTTTGTCTTAAAGTTCCTTACGAGAATAATGCTGCTTGGCCAGTGTCAAGGATATGAGGTGAAATTACTGGGTGTTGTGATAAGGTGAGATTGGATATTGTGTTGTGTATTTCTTTTTCTTTTTTTCACTATTCGATCATATATTGACACGTGTTCTTTCTATCATTAAATCCGTCACTGCAAGACTAGTCTTATAAATAGATGGATGTATCTTTATTGTAAGGGTAATTGGTGCAAAACGTCCCTACCTTTGCACGGTTTTGTGTAAAACGTCCATACCTTTCGTTTTTTGAAGCAAAACATTCTTACCTTTCTAATTTTTTGCGCAAAAGTCATTTTGACCAATTTTAACATAACATGACCACTATATCCCCTATATGAATAAAACAAAAATAAAGAAAAATAAAGAATAAATTGCAATATGCTCCTCAGCTTTTTTAAAAATAAAAACTAGTCCAAAACTTATTAAAAATAACAAAAACTGAGGCCAATAAAACTCATTGAAATTATGACCTCCACCTAAAAACTGAGGCCAATTAAACTAAGCCCCCAAAATACAAACTAGGGTTAAGTAAAATTGAGGCCAATTGATCGTCACGGAAGGGAATGGTCTGTCGGTGAAGTAACTTGAAGACTGGAGCGCGAACCAACTGCCAGCGAGGTTTCTTGTTGCCTCTTGGTGGCAGCACGCGAGCAAGAGAAAAAAAACTGGCAAGGCTAATCAATTGACGAGCGAGAGAAAAACTGGCAAAACTGAGAGAGCGATGGGTGCTGATGTGGCTGTCGATTGGAATTATAGATGGTGGTGGGAGATTGTCGCAGCAGAAGTTTGTGATTTTGTTGGAATGTACCGGTCTGCTAATTTGTTGAGTGGTGGCGGATTTGGTTTTCAATTTCAGAGGCGATTATTGCCATTACGGTGATGGGTGGAATTTTCTTTTACTTCGGTTTTTTTTTTTT